AAGAACCTCACTTCTTGCATCTGAAGAAGTGAGGTTCTTACCCACGAAAGCTTATGCTCCCAGTACTTCTGTTAGTCTCAAAGGTGCCACAGGACCCTCTGTTACCTTAGGGACTGACTCTGGACTGGCTAGGGATGGATTAGAGCAGGGATAGTCAATAGGCAGACTGCAGGGCAAATCCGGACCGCCAGACCCTTTGGAACAGACCCTGGAATCCTTTTATTAATTATTATTATAATTGCTGTTGTTATTGTTTTTATTTTCTCTGGAGTCTGAACTTTGACTACACCTTGACCAAGAAATCTGGACCCTGACAAAAAATAAATTGACCATCCTGGACTAGAGGATCACCTAAGACCTTTTCCATCTTTAACTTCTATGACTGACATCAAGCTTAAAAAAATCTATTTATTCAAATGATGAAGACTCTAATAACCCAGCCATTAAAACTTTTCTGGACTTTTCCACTTTCTCAGCTTAGAGTCTTCTCCCGTCATGTCTACAGCTTTGAAGTAAGCACATCTAGGAAGGCTGGTTCATTGCAGAAAGGCGGAGGCCTTTACCGCTTTAAATGGTTAACAACCTCTACTAATAAAAGGACCTGGGGAAAGGAAAGCTATATAGTAACACGCTGCAGCAGCAGCAGCCACCACACAGTCCAGCAGAAACTAGAGCCATTTGCAGGCTTCAAAGTACAAGACAGATCCCTAGATACTAAAGGAAGGAAGCTATAAACAGGGGCATTAAGTCTTCTCCCATTGGCATACAGCATCTTCATAGAACTGGAAGGGACCTTGCGAGGTGTCTAGTCCAGTCCCCTGCACTCCTGGCAGGACTAAGTATTATCTAGACCATCCCTGACAGGTGTTTGTTCAACCTGCTCTTAAAAATCTCCAATGATGGAGATTCCACCACCTCCCTAGGCAATTTATTCCAGTGCTTAACCACCCTGACAGTTAGGAAGTTTTTCCTAATGTCCAACCTAGACCTCCCTTGCTGCAATTTAAGCCCATTGCTGCTTGTCCTAGCCTCAGAGATTAAGAAGAACAGTTTTTCTCCCTCCTCCTTGTAGCGACCTTTTATGTACTTGGAAACTGTTATCATGTCCCCTCTTAGTCTTCTCTGCAGCTGCCCCCATGAAGCACTTCTAGTGTAGACCTGCCCTTACAGTAAGGAATGTAGCTGCTCTTTAGTTCAGTGACGAGGCATTTTTCTAGATAGCTGGAGCGCCTAATGATTTTACACTCCAATATTTTATTAAACTTAATGTTTAAAATCAAATTTACACACGTTAGGAGGGAGGGTACTGTACATCTGGGGTTGGGCTTGGGTTATGGGGGATTGCAAGTATCAGTTACAAGGTTCACGAGGTACATATATATCACATAACCAGCATAGATCCAGACTGGGGTGCGGGAGTTTTTAGAGGGTCAGTGGATAAGTGGGCTCGGGTACGCCACCCATGGAATGTATTAAGAGTCCAAGTCAGTAGTGGTGTAGAGAATAAGTACATGGGTGGGGTGTGTCCCTCAGTTCATCAGGGAAGGAAGTGGGTTATTTCCCTGGTCAACGTTTGTCGGTTATTCGACCTGGTACTGGCGGTGTCCCATGATGTGATCGTGTAGATGTCTCTGGACCACCTGATGGTGTCGGACACCATGAGCTGTCTCATGAGCCAGGCGTAGCGTCGACCGACTCCGCATGCTCTCAGTACCGGCTCGTTGTGGGGGTCCCATGCACCCAGGGCTCCCACAATCAGGGCGTGGATCTGGACCTAGTAGCCCTGGGCTCTCAGGGTGTTGGCCAGCGGGACGTACTTCAACGCCTTCCATGCTCGGGCCTCGTGGAAGGCTGGTGACCTGTTTTCGAATGGCACCGTGATGTCTACCACAAGGACCTTCTTCTTTTCTGCGTCCGTCATGACAACGTCGGGTCGCAGTCGGCTGTCCGTTCCGGGGATGGCGGAGTCGACGGTGATCTTCCCCAGGACGGCGGGATGGCTATCACTAGCTGGTTCTGGATGGCGTTGTGTTGGTACCGTCAGGCTCCAGAGTGGTGTTTGCATCCGCACAGGATGTGGGGCAGGGTCTCGTTGGTGTAGCCGCACTTCCTGCAGCGCTTGTCCCGGTTGCCGTGGCGGACGGCTCTGTTGAGGGGAACGCAGTTGAGTTGGGCCCGGTGGACGAACCGCCAGTCGGCGAACCATAGCTTTTCTTAGCCAACTGTCTATGACGAAATACAGTAAAAAATCCTCTATTTATGAAACTAGCCCAGATACAGGATTGTTCTTTCAGGGACTGGGATCAAAAAGAAAGTGATCTCTGGATTGAAGCCTCAGGCAAGCAGCAATTTGATCAAGGGATCTAGGATTTGGGAACAGAGCAAATCTAAACAGTAATAATAATAGTTATTAACTATAGATGATGGTTAATATTCCTCATGTCCTGTTATACTAGTCTGATTCCCTGTGTAGAACAGAGGTTCCCAAACTGAGGGGCATGCCGCCCTACGGGGACATGGAGGAATGTTGAGGGGGGGCACGGCTGGGGCCTGGGCCAGCCCCCATGGGGGTGGGGAGGGAGCGCCGGTTGCCAGGGACCCGGCCACTGGCCTTGGTCCCCAGATGAGGCTCTACTCCTGCCCTCAGCTGTGGACCTAGCCTCGGCCTCCTTACCCCATCTGTGTCCCCTCTTCCCGGAGTCACGGCCCTGCTCCTGGCCCAGAGGGGAAGGGGGGACAAGGTAAAAAGTTCAGGGACCACTGGTGTAGAAGTTAAGGCTTGTATTAAAGCTGTATGTATGTACAATTTAGTTTAAAAGACAAAACAAACACACACTTTCTTAAACAGGTTGGCACCCGTACTCCCTTAATAACCTGTGTTATCAGTGGTTTAACACAGCCCTAGCAAAAAGAGGCACCACACAGCAAGGGAGTATTCATTCAGTACTGCCAGGGAGCTGCTAACCGTGAAGGGACACTTCCATGAGGAAGCGGATAGATCTTTTCCCTTCCTCAGCACTGGAAGAGGATAGTAACAGATGTTTGCTTGTGTTTTTCAAAATATTAAACATGTTCCAGCAGATTACACTGCCCAATCCTTCAGTACTTTGTTCGTTTTTTAAAAAACCATGCTCGCCTCCCAGGGAGCGAATAAGCTACATAATGAATCAGCATTTCTGATTCACATGTTTCAGAAGGATAGTGGAATTTTTTTGAAGCCCAAATTCTCCCTGTTCTGGGAGTCCTCCAACATTACCACCAGTCTACGTTCACCTCAGCAGAACTCTGTCTCAAATAATTGGCTATGCAAGTTACAATCTAGAGAGAAATAGGACCCAGCATAGCATATGTCTCTAGCTTCCGGACTACGTGGGAGGCAGTGTGTCCATCTCTGGGACATATGTCTCTAGCTTCCAGACTATGTGGGAGGCAGTGTGTCCATCTCTGGGACATATGTCTCTAGCTTCCGGACTATGTGGGAGGCAGTGTGTCCATCTCTGGACATATGTTTCTAGCTTCCAGACTACGTGGCAGGCAGTGTGTCCATCTCCGGTATGTGGCAAAGGTGATAAATACTGAGTAAGAAACATTCAAATGTTGCAAGGCTGAGATTTTCAAAGTGCCTTGCGTTTCTGGGGGCTGATTTTCAGAAAGGGCTGAAAACCCACCCAATGATGCTAGGTCCCTCTGAGGTTTCTCAGGTTGGGCACCCAAAAAGCGACGCAACCAAAAAATTGTTGGTCACTCCTGAAAATCTTTGCCAAATAAATAAGATTTACACTGTTTATTTTTCACTCAGCATTTTAAGATCTTTACACAGGAAGAGGCGATCTCTTTGGGGGAAGGACGGGAGAGGAGAAAGGCTGCTTTTGCTGGCCAGTATATTGCACAGCCTGTTTTTATCCACCACTAATACACTGACAAACCCAACCAACCAGCAATGCTATGGCTGACTTAATCTTCTGCAATCCAGGAAGTTTAACTAATGCTCTTGGTATTGGAATTACTTTGGTCTTTATGCTCTATCTTGCCTTTGGAAGATGCTTATAAACTTACACCCTACAGTTCTTCAACCTTTCCATCTAAGACAGCAAATTTCTAAGTCAGGCATTTAAAGAAATTTTCAGCTGAACTTTTCAAAGCATGTATTGAATGGTTTCTAGATAAAATTGTTACCATTTTTTACTTAATGCGAATACAGATCTGGCATTCAGGGGTCTCAATTGAGAGGTGCATACAGGACCGAGAGGAGACCCCAAGGTTCTCAGCTAATAGACCCCTTGCAATCTAAGGCGGTACCTCTCCCATGTATTCATTCTTTGTCTCTATCGCGCACACACACACACACCCGAGAAGACTACAGAGGTCCGGAGTAAAAATGGCTTGTTACTGAGCATGACAAGATAATCTGGTACAGCTCACACCACCCGAGCGATGTTTCTCTGCCTGACATATTTGGTGTGGCTATTCACATCTTGTATGAAGTGTCACACATGCCAATATTAGCCAAAGTACAACATACACGTTATTCTTGTTCTTTCAGACACACAAAACTTCTTGGCATCTCCCGATTGAAACGTCATGCCAGTTTAACACACTAACCCCTTGGTGCACAGCTGTTTTGAGCACGTTATGTCTGTCTTGTTTAGTTTTCAGATCACTAAACACAGATCAACAGCGGTAGAGTGTATGACTGACAGTCCCCTCTTATTCCACAGCACATGTATTGGGGCTCCAAAGAAAAAGGTGGAAGCATCAGAAAACGATTGGTGACATTACAGAACACAAAGGTCTGCTATCAAATGAGGAATCAGTGGGCTGCTGACCCCAGGGAATGTCTGAGAATTAGCAACAACAACACTAACAGGAATTCTGCTGAACCCTAAACCAAATCTTAGGGTCACGTTCTGCTCTCATTTAGGCTGCTGTAAACGGGAAATAATTCCAATGAATTCAGTGGCAGAGCTCTGGTTTTACAGCAGTGTAAGTGAGAGCAGATGATGACCCTTCGCAAGGTTGTACCTAAAGGAGAAAAACAGCAAACTACTAGAAAGAGAGAAGTAGGACAGTGCACACCGAGTTCAGCATTTGTACCACTGAAAATGTATAGTCTGGCAACACAACACAACACACACCCACGTGCCCCCCTTCCAACATGTATAGTAGACAGTAAAATTAGAAACACATCTAAACAAGAGGCCAAGAAACTCTCTTTCCGTAGAAGGGAGAGCACTGTCTTCTCCATACCTATATTTCATTCCGGGCTGTTTCACGCTGGAGTCACTTGAGGATGGGGCATTTTGCACAGACAGCTGCCCCAGACTCCGGGCAACCATGGCGACTGCTCGGAATTTGCTCCGCGTGCCAAGGCTGGGACTGCTGGCATTTTGTCTGTTCAGTCGATCGTCTGCACTCCGGCTCTTTATGCTGTGCTCTGAGCATACAAAAGAAACCTGCATAGTGTCCTCGCTTTCTTTGGGTTGCAGAAATCCCCTCCCCCCCTTTAGCTCTCAGAAGAGTTCTGTTCCACAGCACGCTGCCTTCTCTCCCTGCGAGGGCTGGAGGAGGAAATGGGTTGGAAGTGTTTTCCCCAGGAATACAGAATTTTCAGAACCCCCCCAAAACAAAACAAAACAAAAAGCACCACACGACAAAGATGCAGCTCTTGTAATTTCAACCTTCGGCTATAGGAGAAAGTCTGCCAGGGAAAATCACAACTAAATGAACTGGGAGGGTTAAGAAATAATCGAGTCAAATCCATTTACTTCCCAGCTTGCATCCTTCTGCCATTCAATGCTTTCCCTGCTCCCACCCTTGACGGTGCAGCTTGAGGTTTCTCTGAAGTCGCTTTTCAAAGTTGAATGGAGGCTGTTTGCCACTAAGTTAAACCCAGTGGCTTGCAAATAAATAAATATTTACGCTGTACTGCTGTTTATTTTTAATGTCAGACTTTCAACTCTGTGAGGTAAAAAATCTTCTGCAGGTTTCCACGCGCACAGGAGCCAGGCCATTCAGACCCAGCTGGTTATAGGCAAAGCAAACAGCCATCGGTCCTTCATTTAAGGTAAAAGGATAGCCAAGCCCCCAAATTCTTCTGCTTCTTGAGCCCTGCAGAGGAATTCCTGTCTCTCTCTGACCCCTACGATAGCTGCTTCCTTGCCAGATCCAGGGCTGGATTTCTGAAGCGAAGAGGGCAGCGTGACTTGCTGCCACCGATCCTGCTTGATTCCCAGGCTCGGCTAAGTCAATTAGGTAGCCAGTGAGCTGAGCAGGAAACATTCAGCAATTCATTAATAACAAAAGGGGGCAGGTTGCTACTTCTCCCATGGAAGAATAACTAGAGAGACAGCTGTTGGTGTAGTACATATGCTGCACGCAGCTACTCTGTGGGTCGCTAACGGTCTCTCCGGGGCGGGGTTCCCTTTCCCCTCATTTTCTGCTCCCTCTCATCTCTACCCCTCCACCTCCAAATATTGCAATGAATAGTGACAACAGCTAAATTTAGATAGTAAATTGGGTGAAGCAGAGACCTCCCTCCTGTATGTCTGTAAAGCAGTATTTAAATATTACTACTGGAGTGCTAGAATGAAGAGACCCAGCTTGTATTTGCTACACATTGAAAAAATAAACAAACAAACATCCTATTAAGCTTTAAAGCAGAAATGTAACAGTTTCAAATACAAGAGCCAACGATTTCATAGACTGGGACCTACGCAGTTTGCTGTGTTTTCATAAGAATGGGTTAGATTGGCTTTTTTCCTGGCGGTTGTTCTAAAATCTATTTTTATTCTTTGCCTTTGAAGGTAAAATTCACCATGACCATTTCAAGAGAGGTACTGGTGGCTTTGCATCTACAGGCGAGTACAGAGGGATCTGCTAATAAAACAGACAAAGCATCTCCCCCCAGTAGATGTGGCACGAGAAAAGGGAGGCCATTACAGGACACCAGGCTGCACATTCCAGCAACATGGGATGTGCTGGGAGCTCCCAAACTCCAACAGCCACAACAAAGGTTTCAGGTCAGGTTCCAAGGACGTCGACCATGGAAACGGATCCTGTCCCCTCGAGCTAATTCAAAAGGGGGGAAGACCATGGAAGTAGCAAGAGAAGAATTAATCAGCGTTGGCTTTGCCTTGAGCAGACAGGACGTTGCACACTGCCAAGCCTGCAGCAGATCCTGCTGCTCTCAGGACCCACCTGATAGCCAGACAGGACAGCAGGGCTGTGCAATGGAACAGCTCTGGGAATACTAAAGTAACAATTTAAACAAGGACTTTAGATTGGCTGGAGGGACAGAAATGACCTAGTATGGAGCTTGCTTTGACGCAGAGCTCTCTATTTTACCCCGGCATCCCATTGTCTATCGGACACCCAGGAAAGAGAGCTCTTCCCCGCAGCCCTTGCACTGAAAGGCTGCTGCTTCCAACTGTTCTGTCCCTGCATACATTGTGCCAAGGAGACTTTGTCGCGATGCTGCAATTCCCTGCTAAGGAGGGTTGGCAGGTGGAGCGTTTGTGGGACCAGGTGACTGGAATCCCCTCTCCCTGGTTTGCTTGGGCCACTTCAATTAACACCCATGGAATTAATCACGTAATGAAATCAGGTATTCTCTTAGTTCAGTTCCAGATTAAAAATCCTTTTATCTGAACCCAGCAGCGTGTGGAATGACGATCCGCGGCTTCTCGCAGGGGAGCCCTGGGGGGATCTCCCCACCACAGGAGAGAGAACCGCATCCCGGGCTCGCCCCTCCTCAGGCGGAAAAAGGCACTTTAGTTGCGAGGGAAGATGCTTTCTCCTTGCAGGGTTCAACGTGCTGCCTCCACAGCGCTCCCAAGCATCTGTTTGCCTGCAGAGCTCAGCACCCGAACACCGACCCCTTGCACGGCGCTGTCAGAGCGCTGGCCCAGCAGCCTACACATGCTGTGTCTTCCTAGGGACCTTTGAACTCGATGAAAAATTCACACACACACACACACACACACACACACTCTTTGTGTTTCTATGATTTATCTTTAGAAACAGGCTAACACCTGCAAAACTAAGTATCTTTAGAGTCTCAATCTAGAAAGGGTGCAGGGGCCGGATTTGGATACTGGCTCCATGGAGGCCCGAGCTGTGATCAGAAATGGGGCTTATGTACTCTCTCTCTTTGACAGCTGTGGGGTAATCGCAAGATGGCTTTTACGGAATTTTCTTAAAATCGGATCAAAGTCTAAAATAAAATCTCCCAGCAAGAATGTTACATTGCTCACCCTTTTAAAACATTTCTACAGCCGGAGTAAAACCCTAGAGAAATGCTAAGAGCACTCCAGTGTGGGGAAATTTCTTTCCCTGTAATGTACTCTTGGTTTTTAATTTAATTCAATACACCACTCAGTGTTATTGCTTGTGTGACCCCTGCCTCTCCAAACAGGGGGCAAATTAACCAACGGGAGACAAAATTTCAACCACTCAGAGCTACACAATCTCATCTCATTTTTAAACTATTTTGTGATTTCAAACAAAAAATGTGAGCCCTCTATTAAACACTCTCAAGTCTTCCGAATGCAATACTGGACCTTCCGATGCAGAACTTCTGCCTGCAGCAGCCTCTCCTGTGCTGTCCTTTTTAGCCGACATATTTGGAAGCTTCTCTTTCCGTAGGAACAGGAGAATGCTTCAGTGACCAGGAAATAATTGTTTAATCAGTTACATGGTCCAGAAAAATAACACTGAAGTAACAAACTGGATTATCAATATATTGATGTGAATTGATTTCTAAAGCACTTTTACACAAAGAAAATTGTCTTGGTGTGTGGGTGTCTGACAGGAATAAAAGTTACATAAATTTGAACTCAGATTAAAAGCCCCCCAAAACCTTGTAATCCAGTGGTGTTTTCTTCTGCCTTAAAGATCCTTAATCCATACAGTTGAGCCAGTGTAATCCTACTTTGCTCCCTCCAGACCTTGATTGCAGTTTCCAATTCTGTTGCAACCAGTTCAGAAATTCCTGATAACAAAGGGTGAATTCTTGCCCCTACTGAAGTTAATGATAGTTTTGCCACTGACTTCACCCAAAGTCTTCACAGTACTGGAAGTCCCTCTGGTGTGCACAAATTAAACAAACACAACCCCCCTGCGATGCAAACCCAACAACAAACACATTTACCCAAAAAAAATCCTCCTAAACAAAACCAACCAGCCCAGCCAGGCCTCCCCCTGCCCTAACAAAAAAACAAACATTGTCCAAAAACTCCTGGGAATCAGAACCTCCAGCAAAAAGCTCCCAGTGGGATCAGCTCCTACTGGGACTCAAAACTGGTGGTAAAGTTCCAGTTGAATAGTCAAAATTATTTACTTTAATTTTTGCTCAGGCTATTTTTAGTTCTGTACAGCCAGGTACAGACTATGCTACCACTTTAACAGTTGACTATTACAGTGACTGCATCCTGACTGGGACCGGCTCCTCACCAATAGAAAGGTATTATCTCACTCACCTTGTCTCTCTAATATCCTGGGGCCCACACGGCTACAACACAGAATGCATCTTGAACGGCAAGTCTCCCAGGCTGTTCCAGCCCTGCTAGCCGAGACAGCAGCGTAAAAGGCTAGTGCAATGCTACAGTTCTCATTGCAATGATCCCTTGCAGTGAGGTTCTTCCTAAGAGGTAACTGATCTGGATGCACAGGGTCTGATATTGCATCACCCAGCTCCCTGGGCAATCCTTTACACCAGTGCAGAGAGCACAAAACGCAGCCATCCTGGTCGGGCAGCACTTCACACCCCATTTGCACTGGTGTGACTGGCCGTGTGAGGGGCATGGTGATGGAGAATCAGGCCTGTTGCTTTTATTGTGTGATAGTTTAAATAAACTTGAGTCCCAAAGTATTTACAAATAAAATAAAATAAAAAAAGCTAAAATTCCTGCCAAGATTGCTAGTTATTTTATTAAGTACTACTTATACAATGGCCCCATTAGAATAGGTCTTATACAAACACACAAGTAGACACAGCCTGTACCAAAGGGTTTGCAGCCTAAGATGATGAACGACACTGAGGGGACAGAAGAGGGAAATATCCAAATATAAACTTCTAGCGTACCCACTCTTCCCTTCTTTCCGGCCCCAGGCCCGCTAGCCCATCATTTGTTGTAGGCATCATGGCAGAAAGCAGCCCTGAGGAGGGATGGGAAAAGTGTGTCCTTGCAGATTAGTTCTAACATCCTGGCAGACTAGGTCACTGACACACGGGCACCCATCCGACAAGGAGCAGTTCCTGCACCCCAGACAGACACACTGAATCAGAACTAATCTGCATATGACCTCTTAGTGCCTCTAGAGGAGAAGCAGGAAAACCCCCCGATCCCAGATTAAAAGTTCCTTGCAGGAGGCGTAGGCCAAAGCCCCCGACTAAAACAAAAGCCAGCAAATTGCAGTTTCCCACCAATGGATTCAGTGGGTCACATTCTTCTCCAGGCTGTAGCAACATCAATCCAGAGCAACGCTGCTGAAGTCGGTGGAGTGACGCTGTCGTGAAGCCCCAGGAGCTCCGAGAATCCAGCTCAGTGTGTGGGATGCACACAGAAGCGACACGTTCAGCTCTAAACCCTTCATCCACGTTGGTTATTAAAAAACAATTCACTGTACTACAGCAGCAATTGCCAGAGGTCACTCCAGCCATCGTCCTGCGCCGGTGGCTCCTGGACCCTGGAATTTGAATGGCAGTTTATTGCTGATGCTGCCACTGTCTCCCCCAACCCCCCAATCTGGCATCTTTCAGAAATTGCTCCATTTTGTTAGGCCCTGGGACCCAGCCTCACAGAAAGCAGTGTGTGTCACGCACAACCATACCACAGAAACAGGTAAAATTACTACCCCTTGGCTGGGGCAGCAAATGTGCTGTAGGTGTTAATAGCACATCCTCTAGATATTAACATGCCAAACCTAGAACGCCTCTGAATATTTATTACATGCTAGGAAAAGGATAAGTCTACTTAACCCAGAGTTTCCAACTGCAGATACAAGAATTTAATGAACGTTTATAGGGCACCATGAGTGCACAAAGCACTTTGAGAAACTTGGACTATGTCCAAGTCCCATAGTTCGGTGGTTCTCAACCAGGGGTACTTGTACCCCTGGGGGTACGCAGAGGTCTTCCAGGGGGTACATCACCTCATCTAGAGATTTGCTTAGGTTTACAACAGGCTACATAAAATGCACTAGTAAAGTCAGTACAAACTAAAATGTCATA